ATGATGTGTTTCATGTGAGCTATCTGCGCAAATGCTTGAGCATCAATGATGAGATAGTTCCATTATCCGAAGTGAAATTGGATAATAAGTTAAGATATGTAGAATATCCGGAAGAGATCGTGAATGAATGAACAACTAATCTACGTAATAAAGAAGTAGAGTGGTGCTTGTCAAGTGGAAACACCATTCCAAATTATACTTGGGAAAATAAGAATGAGATAAGAGCAAAATATCCCCATTTATTTTAATCGATGTAATTTCAGGGATGAAATCCTCAAAAGGAGGAGGTATTTGTAACATACACGTTTTGAAATCGTTTTTTAAGTAAATAATATAATGAAATATTATGTGAATTTTCATGTTGAGTTCTAACAGATAGTTTTTACTAGAAATGAAGTAAAACTATGTTTAGAATCACTCATAAAATATTGGAAGTCTTATGAGATTCCAATTAAAAGCCAAATAGTGAAATATAGAGAAAATATAAAATTTGAAATAAGTAAAATTTTATTATTGAAATTTGTAGATAATCTCGTTAGAAACATTTAGGTGAAAACCTCATCGAAATCCGAGTTATAACGAAGAAGTTTTGACCAATTAAAGATCCGCGACAAAACCGGAACGGCGCCGAATAATGTAAAAAGTGAGTTTTTGATAAACTAATTTTTAGCCTTAGTAATCTAAATGAAATTCTTAGTATTCGTTAAACCAAGAAGTTCGATAAAAAAAAACGCTAAAATCTGACTTCGTATGAGGAAGTTATGAGTTTTCGAAGTTTCAGCTTAGCAGTAGACAGCTAAAAATTCGAATTTTAGATCGAGTGATTTTTAGCCGATACAACCAAAATGAGAATTGATGGTCTCGTCATTTGTAGTACAACGGTAAAAAGTATGACGAAAACGAACGTCAGATAAAGAAGTTATGATTTTTTAACGGATTTTCCTGTCCCGGTCTGTTAAAAATAATAATATTAAAATAAAAGTCAAAATTAGCCAACGAAGTCTAAATGAAAGTTGTAGAGCATAATTTTAGCTATGCGTGCATATAATGAACGTCTAAAACGAAGCTCGTATGCGAAAGTTATGAATTTTACAAGATTTGGCACATTTTTAGAGAAATTTCACTGAGTCACCTCAGACACGTCATCCCTCACTTGTGAGGCCTCCACGTGGAACCTCCTGATAGGACCGAGCTTCACGTGTCATCTTCTGATTGGACCAAGTCCGCAGCTCACTTGCATTCAGACACCATCGCATGAGACACCCCTCGAATGACCTCGCACTACGTGGAGCCTTCCCATTGGACCGAAGTTGGGTCCAATCCGAAGGTGCCATTTGCGAGCCAGCTGTTCCGACCCTCGCATCCGAGCCTCGTTGAAGCAGCCAGCTGGTCCGAGCCTCACAACCACTTGCCCTCTTCCCCTCGCTTCGGATCCGAACCTCGGCCCTATATAAGGGTGCGAGACCTCCCGAGTAAATGTTAGAAATTTGCCACTTTTTACCGCTAAACTTATATTTCTTCTACTTCCACTTCGCTCGAAGCCCCGGTACTGATTCCAAAGCCCGAAACACGCCCCGATACTCCTGAGAAGCGTGAAAAAATTTATCTTTTCGGTTTTGAAGCTCTACCTTCGCAGAGCCCGGATATCAAGAAAACTCCCGATTTTCAACGAAGAAAGTGATATTTAGAGCCGAAGTGCTGCCCAAATTAATATTTTAGCCCCCGGTTATTTCATGGTAAGTTTAATATATATGAACAATTGTATGTTATGTGTTATATGTGCTATGTGCTTTTCAGTATTATTATTCCGGGATCATTTTTCCAGGTTATTTTTATTCGCTATTTTTAATAGCAAAGAAATACCTTTGACCATGTGATCAGTGAAAGGACTTAGATTCACGTTGGTACTGGTATGTTGCCTCTGTCCATGTAGAACATGTCTCCGTAAGATAATGATTTCTATTTTATGGTATTGGCAGAAGGTTAGATAGGGCTATAAGCCTGAAATCTACCAAAATGTTAATCTGAAGTTCTATGTCTTTCATACCATCTGGGCCAAAGCTTTATTGATGTATATCAAACATGAAAATTGTTATGTCTCATTGATTGTATATCTTTAAATCAAATCAATGATTGATATGGAAAGATTGTCACATGATTCACATATGCCCTTGTTGTTCCTTGTTCCTCTTTGCTTCTGCTATATTGAAGTATATATATGGCATATCGTTATATTGTATTTATTATTGAACTCATTAAGCGTCATCGCTTACCCTCTCAATGTTTAACAAATTGCAGGAGATAAGCATCCAGTATAGTTATATACTGGCAGAAGATTTTTGAATAGTTTGAAACTATTGTATTGATAGAAGCTTATGAATAGTTTGAAACTATTGTATTTTGCACTCCCATATGTACAAAACTATAGAATCCTAGGAAGTTATGTAATATATAATACTTTAAAATAGTCGGTTTGTATCCAGTAGTTTGTAACCTCTTTATCAATCTAAAATATTGTTTTTATGAATATGCAAATAGCATGTTTTGGGGTAACTATATTGTCAAATATGAAAGTTTTGTTCTTTTATAAATACGAAAGTTAGGGTCTTTATATATATATATATATATATATATATATATATATATATATATATATATATATATATACATACATACATATAAATACCAGCCGTCTACCCGCGTAATGCGGCGGACGACCATAAGGGTGGGGAGGGAGTTTGTATAGTTTTTTCGGTAAGATCAGCAACTTTTACAAAGAGAATTTTCTAAAATTCATCAAACAAATTAGTGAAATTAAGACCAACAAAATTAATCTACTCAAAAAATGAACAATAAGTTTAATCTATTAATAGGCATGATACTTAGAATGTTAAAACCCCCCTAATGTGTATTAACACCCATAAATTGTTGGTGAAAGACATTTTTAAATGTAAGTGTATACAATAAAAAAAATTGATATCTAAGCATAGTTATACATAACTGGTTCTGATGCAGAATTATATAAAATAAAAAAAATTGGGCAAACAAATATTATTTGATTTTATCCCTTCAAAATTCCAAAAATAATCCCCTAGCTAGGACGAAGAATAAGCATATAAATAGCAAAAAACCATAATCCCATGCTTTTATCTCTTCCATACTTACAATAGCTCCTGCTCAATAATAAACAAAAACAACACAATTAGACAGAAAACAAGTATTCTTGAAATTAATTGATTTTGAACTAATAGACTACCAATGAGAAAAGTATGATTTAGTATTAGGAAATGGCCGTCAATGATATTATTTGTCAACCATTTAACTTTTGTGTATTTTCCAAAGAAAACATTATGGTATCGATTTACACATAGATTGTGATATTATAAGAATTTGACTTTCATGTATGCTTGCGACACCAGGTAAATCCAATGTGATTACGCTCTTGCATTTCACAAGATGCAATAGATTTTATAGTTTATAAAATTTTAATATATTGCTTTTTCGGATCCAAAAATTGACATCGATTATCAGGTTTTTACGTCCAAAATGAACTCAAACATTCAGCCCATATAAAAAAACTATAAGATATAGCTTGCTAGAAATATATAGGCTGAAATTGACTTGACCTTCATGTTGTATGGAGGAATATAGCTGCTACCAAATTCCTGTTGGGTGATCTTGAATGATAAAGGAGCGAATGACTGTCTTCGCCATCAATAACCATCATCAAAGGAACCTATATGTCTACCTTCAGGGAAGCTGGTCAATATCCCTTCATTCTTCAAAAAGTCTCTCTTGCTAACATTAATGAACCTGCCATGAGCAATTAAGGAATAAAATACTTTTGAAAAACAAGGCAGTTAGGTAAGATATTTTTGAACGATAATTCAATTCAAGCAAAAGCCAAACCCATAACAATCAATGGTTACATATTGTTGAAGCATGTTATTTATTGAATTTCAACAAACTTTTTGTGGAGGATGGATCTACCAAAAAATCATATCAAAAAACAAACTCATCAGGAGGAAAATCACGATAAATCACATATGGTCAAATATGTTAAAAGATAATATAGTTGATTACTTGTTCAAAAAAATGCAAAATAATCGAGAATTCAAAATCAAGAAGATACCTTTAGGTTTGCTTCACAGTTTTCTTTTCTTCAAGTTTGGTACCTACGTTTCTTTTCTTTCCTCTATGTGCATTTATACTTAAATCATTGCTGGCATAAAAAATAAAAAAAAAATCTATAAATAAACAACTTTTAAAAATAAACACAGTTGAGAGAGAGAGAGAGAGAGAGAGATAGAGAGAGAGAGACTTAGGTGGTGTGAAAATGGTAGTGTAGATCGAGATCCATGACTTACAGCCTGTAAAAAGAAAAACAAGTTATGATTAGAGAGGTGACTTCATGAAAAAGAAAAGGGACCGACGGTTTACGGTGCACATTTAGGTTTCTTTAACATTTGTTGAAACTACACATGAGATAAAGATTGATTTAGTCTACTAAAACTAAGGATTCAGGTCAAATAATAACTCCATCTGAAACCAATTTAATCGGGTGAACTATAGTGAATATTTGGTCAATTTTGCGAGATTTTTAGGAGGATTCAAAGTTTAAACGTATATATGATCTCCATGGGTTAACTTAAGATTTTAATATTATTTTATTGATGTTTGGTTGTACTTTAAGCTTTAATACTTGGACGTGTTAAAAAATATTATTATTATATTGAATCTATTTATATATATAGTGAGATTTCTTTTATAAGATAGTAAATATATATATATATATATATATATATATATATATATATATATATATATATATATATATATATATTATGAACTATTTGCTAATTTTTGCTTTATGATAACTTTCCACAAAGCAGCCAACTAGCCCCTTAATAAAAAAAATAATAAGGCAACCAACAAAATAAACAATATAGCCTTGACGTCTCAATTATTTTTGTCTATAAAACGGAGCAAGCCACATAGTATAGAGAAAGCACTATTACTTGTTTGAACCTCCAAGAAAACGTCCCTCACAAATCATGGCAAAACCTCATGTTCTAGTCATACCTTATCCCGCACAAGGCCATGTCATCCCTATAATGGAGCTTGCTCAACGCTTAGTCAACCATGATGTCAAAGTTACAGTTGTAAACACAGAGGTCACTCACACGTTGGTAACAAGCAATGCATTTGAAAATGATGGTTTTAGTGATCTATTGCAGTTGGTTTCAATCCCCGATGGATTACAATCATCGGCGGACAGGACTGACCTTTGTAAGTTGACCAGATCAATACTAGAAACTATGCCTGGCAAATTGGAAGAACTTATAGAGAAAATTAACAAAGAAGACAGCAATAAAGTTACCTGTATTATTGTTGATGATTGCATGGGATGGGCCATAAAAGTCGCAAAGAAGATGGGAATAAGAAGAGCAGCTTTCTGCCCAGCATCGGTTACTACGCTAACTTCCATGTTGAGCTGTCCGAATTTGATTGCTGATGGAATCATTAACAACAACGGTGAAAACATGCAACGATTACCCATTTCCTTTTCTAAGAAGGTCGTTTAACCTTTCTTGAATTTTTTTATTTCAGGCATACCTCTTAATCAGCAGATGATTAAGCTATCAGAAACCATGCCGCTTATAAAACCAACGAACCTCTGGTGGACGCGCTTTGAGGACTTGCCGACTGTAGAAGCTTTTTTTCAAGTTGTAAAAGAAGCTCCTGAAGCCTACAGATTGACGGAATGGCATCTATGCAGATCAACTATTGAGCTGGAGTCTGGAGCACTTAACCTCTTCCCCCAGCTATTACCAATTGGCCCTTTGCTGGCAAGCAACCGACGAGCTGACCAAGTAGGTCACTTCTGGCAAGAAGACTCCACCTGTTTAGCATGGCTCGACCAACAGCCACCATGTTCGGTCATTTACGTAGCATTTGGGAGCTTCACCATTTTCAATCAAACACAGTTTGAAGAATTGGCACTTGCTCTTGAACTTAGCGACAGACCATTCTTGTGGGTTGTGCGACAAGGCATGACAAAGGAGACTACAGCTGCTTTCCCAGATGGGTTTGTGGAAAGAGTAGGTTCTCGTGGAAGAATACTGAGTTGGGCACCTCAACAGAAAGTGTTAGCTCATCCTTCTGTGGCTTGTTTTGTGAGTCATTGTGGTTGGAATTCTACTTTAGAGGGTGTTACAAATGGACTCCCTTTCTTGTGTTGGCCATACTTTGCTGATCAGTTTCAAAATGAAATTTACATTTGTGACATCTGGAAGATTGGGCTTGGGTTTGAAAAAGATGAAGCTGGTATCATCCGAAGAGGGGAAATAAAAGGTAAGGTAGAGCAGCTGCTCGGAGACAATACATTCAGAACTAAAGCGACGGATATCAAAGAGAAGGTAACAAGCAGTATTAGAGAAGGCGGATGCTCACACAAAAATCTTAGCAATTTTATTGAGTGGATAAAAGAGAAAGATATAAGCTGCCAAGAATCAAATTAACACTGTGCTATTGTATGAACAAGACGTACCCTTTCATTTGTTTCCATATGTCGAGCTGCACTTAAGTTTTACTCGTTTAAGAGAGCTAATATACTCGAAATTTTAGTAAGCGTTAATTTGTATGCAAGTCTTATACATATATGTTTGTAGCGAATTTTTTATTAATTAGGCTTATATATATGCTTGGATTATATATATTGGCTATACAATGTGCCGTTATAGTAATATTTTTTTCGATTATATTGGCTAATCCGTTTTTCAATTATGTAATCACAAAGATGAGTGATCCGTGTTATGTTATTGCTTTTTGACTAATAACTAATAAGTCTTTTTATGAGTCGGTATAAACAGCACTAGTTTTCGCAAATATACCGACACGGAAAAATTGCGTTGCAAAGGAGGGCAAGAGGCTTGGGTAATCATCCGACAGATTTTATAACACTCTACTGATAGAAATTTTTGTTTGTAATACCAATAGATTTCCGACAAACTTTTTTTTTTTGTTGAAAGGAAACTATATATTGTTTAACGACAGCTTCCATGTAAGTTGGTAAGAAATCGATTGCCGATATATAGAATCATTAACAACAATATATGGTGAAACATGCATACGATTACGCATTTCATTTTATAATAATTTAATCTAGTTAAGAAGGTCGTTTAACAGTTCTTAAATTTTTTATTTTAGACATACCTATGCTTAAGTTGCAAGAATCGGTCTTTTTTATATATCCTAACGATATAAGTATATTAAATTAATTTTAAAAAAATAAATAAATAAAATAAACAAATGAAAGAATATTATAAAAAATTGTTTATGATAAAAAAAAACATAAGTTAAATAGATGTATGTATATTTATATCTATATCGATATCTATATAAATATTATATGGTAGGTCATTACTTTCAATTTTCAATATGTTCAACATAAATCATATTTAGTAAAATTGCAATAAAGTTACTATATTTACTAAAATTGCAATAAGTTACTATATTTACTATATTTAAAGTTTTCAGTAACTATTTGTTTCTAATTGCAATAAAGTTACTATATTTACTAAAATTGTGATTTTAACACTATGTTTTTTTTTTTCATAATTAGATCACTATATTTATAGTTTTGTTGCGATATCAACCAAAATAAATAACATGATATTATTGTGATGTGGAAGCCATACCACACATTTATGTGTTGTAGCATGTTTATTAAATGGCCTGAATCCACACGTCCAACATTGTGTGCACGAAAGAAAGGTCAGTTTGGCCCATGGCCGTAACGCGACCCTCCGTATGACGCCGCACGTCTAGGAAATAACTTCCTTATAAAAGAAGAGTCACCATCCTCATTTCTTTCCACCAATTCTTCTAATTCTCTCTCTCTCTCTCTCTCTCTCTCTCTCTCTCCCTTGCCCTCTTGAAATTTCGGTCCATCGTGATTCGAATAAGTTACTTTGACACTTAATTATATAACCTACTTACTTGTTTCAAGAATATTCAGGTGAATTAGTCTATTCATTTAACTCTATTCCAATAGTTCTCACATTCTAATATACAAAGAAAATATATTGCCACACAAAGTATAGTGAGATAACTCACCTAAATATTCTTGAAACAATTAAGTAGTTTAGATAAGAGTAAGTGTAAATTACTCAATTGATGAGGTCCAAATAGTAGCGAACAGAACTTTGACATTTACTTCCTTTCTTTAGTTATCCTTCGAAACCTCGAGAGCTTTACTACTTGGATTACAGAATGAGGAGTCGAATCATAAGGGACCGAAATCTTGATGTGGAGAGAGATAGAGAGAGAGAGAGATAGAGAGAGAGAGAGAGAGAGTTGGAAGAATTGGTTGAAAGAAAGGAGGATGGGTGACCCTCCATTTATAGGGAGGCTTTTGCCTCACCATGTCGCACCCTATAGAGGGTCGCGGCGTGGTCATGGGTCACACTGACTTTTCTTTTTTGCATACAATGATGGACATGTAGAGTCAGGTGCATTTAATAAAATGTGTCGCGGCACATAGATGTGTCATATGGGTTTCACGCTACAATATTATCATGTCATTTATTTTGTAATGTGCTAGATTAATGGTAATCAGTTATTGTGTTTGATTATATTGCAACAAAACGGTAAATATAGTGATATAATTGAGAAAAAAAACACAATGTCAAAATCACAATCTTGGAAAACATACTGAATTTATTGCAGTTCGAAAAAAAGTGATTACGAGAACAACAGGTAGAACAATTCATTTGGTTGATATTTCAATAAAAATGTAAATATAATAACATACTTACGAAAAAAACAACATGGTGTCAAATTCAAAATTTCATGGTAATATAGTGACTTATTTTCCATTTGCTCTATAATTTTGGTTAAAAATAATTACTTTATTGTCATTATACATAACATGTAAAGTTTTATATTAATTTGATACAAAATTATATAATAATCGAAACTATATGATAATATAAAATCAATTAAAACTAAATTTTTGAATGACATTTAACCGTGGTTTACAAGTATAGATGACTACAATTATATATAACTTTTTTATAAGTGATATCTTTTTATATTCATATTTACTATTAGTTAAAGAACATGTTAGACTTTATACACATAAATAAAGATATATAGTGAATAAAGTCATCATCATTAATAATCTAAAAACATTAAATCTACAATTAGCTGCTGATGGTATCGATTGTAAACTAGTGTATGTTAAATTTTAAAAATAAAATGATAATACATTACAACAAAATTTAAAAAGGAAGAAAAAGTACCATGCACTTCAACTTTGCTAAAATTCATATGTTAATTAAATTGTCAAAGTCATTATTTTTATAACTTAAAAGATTAACTTTTAAAATATTTCATTCTCTACAACATGTATAAATATCCATTTTAGTATGTATTTACATATTATCAAATAGACATCAAAGTTGTATATACATATTATATACATAGTAGTTAAAATGAATCTAAATAAATGGCATATATGTGTGACTCAAAAATCCATACAAATGTTCAAAAAATCTTCTAATGTGTTGTATGTTTTCTATAACAAATGTACATCCTTCGTTTATTGTGTGTAGCTAAAGTAAAATAACAAATTCACTATCTAACGATTTTTTTTATACAATGTTAATTAGATATGAAAGTTTCTTAGGAATAATACATGGTCATTTTAAATGTTTATGAAAATATTTCTAAGAGACTTAAAAAACGTTTTTAAAAAACCATACAATTTTATTCTACATAACGCATGAGTATTCGCCTACTATATATGATCGAGATCACAATTTGCATATAAATGTGGACATCTCTTTGCAACAGACACATCATTATAGACATTTTAAGATAACTTTGCTTAATATTTATCATAAAATAACATGTTACAATTTATTTTATTAGGTCATCCATATTGATCTAATATATATAAAGTTTAAAAACTAATTTAAACTGTACCTTTGAATCA